TCGTGACCAGATAACTGAAGAACCACAAGCGTTATTCGCTACAAACCATGATACTCGGCCCATGACATCTCTTCTCAATCTGCTACAACGTATGGTACCCAAACCATGTCACTCCTCAATCCGCTCCGATGTATGGTACTCGGACCATAACATCATTCCTCAATTTGCTCCGATGCATGGTACTCGAACCATAACATCACTCCTCAATCCGCTATGGTGCATGGTAGTCTAACCCTAATATCACTCCTCAATCTACTTCGATGTATGGTACTCGAACCATAACATCACTCCTCAATCTGCTACGATGCATGGTACTCGAACCATAACATCACTCCTCAATTTGCTACGATGCATGGTACTCGAACCATAACATCACTCCTCAATCTGCTTCGATGTATGGTACTCGAACCATAACATCACTCCTCAATCTGCTACGATGCATGGTACTCGAACCATACCATCACTCCTCAATCTGCTACGATGCATGGTATTCGAACCATAACATCACTCCTCAATCTGCTCCGATGTATTGTAATCGGACCATAACATCACTCCTCAATCCACTATGATGCATGGTATTCGAACCATAACATCACTCCTCAATTTGCTCCGATGCATGGTACTCGGACCATAACATCACTCCTCAATCCGCTACGATGCATGGTATTCAAACCATAACATCACTCCTCAATCTGCTCCGATGCATGGTACTCGAACCATAACATCACTCCTCACTCTGCTACTTAGAACCTTCAGAATACTCCTTATATCTAGTATGGGTCCTCTGCTTTCGGTAGTACGAGCCCATACTACCTGCCACATCTACCCATACTCTCCACACGAACCATCCCAGAGCTCCTAAGTAGTCGCTCAATCTTCTCGTTCACCAATTATGTCACGCATGCTCGCTCCTCAGCGAAAGGCTTTACTCTACCAGCGTACTCATCTGACTAAGATTGCTCCATAGGCTCTTCCTAGGTTCTCACACTTCTCCGCCATCAGCTGTTGAAGAACTCCTAACGATGCCAGCCATCTACCTCCTGAATATCGTCATATTCACTTCGTAGCTGTCTCCCATCATTGAGAGTTCCACAAAGCACGAAGCAAGTAGCATTCGAGCATCGAAGTACCTCCTCCAGCACATAAAACCTCTTTAGGTTATTGTCCACTCGTCCTCCTCATACTCGAAGGATATCACCAAACTCAACAACTTCACCCCACGTTGGCATCTGGATACCCTCTCGGCATGCTCCTCCAATGCTCATATAGATACCTCCTCTAGATTTCTCCTCTACTCGAATCCCCTAAAGGATTCCTGCTGGACACTCTTACTCATCACCTAATCAAAGCGCATCACAAATAATAGCAACTCCTAGGCTAAGGCATCACAAATCAGGCCACTCTAGTCCTAAAATATGAATTACTTAGCTTGTCTCTAGCATGCATAATATCTCATAAAATGTCTTATAAATATCTCATAACACAAAAGTAAGGGTATTTTGGGAAATCACCGTTCGGGCTCTGGCTGATTGTACACACTGCTCCTTCTCATTTTCTCTTTGAACTCTTATTCGCTTTAGAAAAATAATTTCTTTGAAAATTTTCTCAATTCCTCAGTTTGAGTCCAGATTTACCCGAAGGTGCATCCGAATCCCTCAAACCAAGGCTCTGATACCAACTTGTAACACCGTAAATTTCAAAACAATTTTTCATTTAAAATAATCATTTAATTCTTAAAACACTTTTCGTAGAAACTCATTTCTGTTTAATTTACTAAACATAACTTCATACTCAATTGCATAATAAACCAGGATCCTCAAAACATAACTCTTTCTCTGGTGTGTACAATCGAGCCGGTGCCGTCCCGTGATCCTGAGAAAACCTGAAACACATAACACATAACACGGTAAGCACGAAGCTTAGTGAGTTCCCCAAAATACCACACATAACATATACTAGCCACTCGAGGATATAACTTTGTGGGACCTTGGGCCCTAACTTTGTGGACCTTTTGGTCCTAACTCTGCGAGCCTTCCGGTTCTAACTCTGATATACACACGACATAAATAACATAGAAATAATGCAGTGCAACACATCACATAGATAGCATACAAGATACTCTATCACATAACTCTGGTTACCTACTCAAGGTAAAGTATAGTGAGAAGACTTACCTCGGATACTCGGTAAACCTCGTACTCTGAAATATTGCGCTAGCCTCTGCCTATTCACATAAATAATTTCTCTAATTAATACAACTTCTAAAGGCTAGGCTAATCCTCCTCTATAAGTCCTCTAAGAAGGGTAAAAGACCATTCTACCCCTCTAATGGCTTATAAGACCAAATCATTGATCGAACCCTAAAAGTCAACGAAGTCAACTCTAGTCAACGATCAAACTTTGACCAGACTCGTCGAGTGCACACGAGTGACTCGGCGAGTCCACGCTGGTTCTCTGAATCCCTTTTGAACTTCTCAGGCACGACGAGTTCCCTATCTACTAGTCGAGTTACTCAGCAACCAATCGCGGGGCAACCCCGACTTGACTCGTCGAGTCTGCCAATGGACTCAGCGAGTTGCTCCCATGACAACACTCATCTGACCTTCTGAGGTCAGATTCGTTCCTCTAATCCATAGATCTGACTTCCCTATGACCAATAACTACGTAAAGGTTGAATCTTGGTACACATGCAACGCTCTCTATGCTTATTTTGGTGAAATCCTTCATATCATGACAACCCTAGCTCATAACTCCAAGGAAAAGGCATAAAGCAGAATGGAAGGGACTCTTTGGACCTCTTAAGGTCTAGATCTAGGAATCATTTCACCATGGGACCTCTCATACTCTAGATTCAAGCTAAATAAAGCATGAAGAAACCCTAGATCATGAAATCGACTAAACAAACGAAGATGGACATGAATCCTTACCTCTCACAGCAGCTCTGAACGAAATGATGGAAGATTTAAGTCCCACAAGACAGCCTAACTCGAAATCCATCATTCCCTATTCTAAAGCACACCAAAAGATGATGAATTAGCCTTCCTCTTGCACCACAAGCTTCCTCTCTGCTCTCTAAAGTTTCTCAGGGTGTAATGGCTGCAAATGAAGGCCATAAGGACCTTTAAATAGGTACCAAACCCGGACAACTAGGGTTTTTCTTAACAGCGCTGACTCGGCGAGTCCAGATACCCAACTCGTCGAGTCCCTTCATCAAACAAGTCACCAAATCGCGATCCTACTCGACGAGTTGGGGCATCAATTCGCCGAGTCTCTTCATACCCTAAAAATAAAATACTCAAATTCCATACCTGGATATCTGGATGTTACAGTATTAAGTTCACACCTTGGAGCCATTTGTTCTACATCTCATTATGTTCATGTTTATGCACTTTATTGTGCAAAAAATTTGGTCTTATGGAGTATGGACTACTCTAGACCATTTGAGCTGTCCTTTTGAGCATTTAAGAGTGCATGGAGCCATAAAAATTAAATCTTGAAAGTTAAAGCTCACCCATGTTTAAGTTGTTAGCCTTTTTATGAAGTTTTGGACCTAAGATTTAGTGTTGGGTTCCATTAAGACATGCAAGTGAGTAAAGTCGCCAACTTTATGGAATAATGCATTATTTAGATGTAGATTTGAGGTTTGGACGTTAAGATCTTAGGGGATTAAGACATTGGAAGAGGATTTGGGGCATTGACCAATATACCGTGCGTACTCCTGAGTACGTTGTGCGTACTGGGTCTGAAGCCCGATGTCAGTCACTCAAGTATGCGGGGCGTACAGGCCAGGTACGTGGGGCATACCGCTTACTGTGGGCCTAGGTTGCTTTTTGGGCCTTGATTGTATGAGTTTAGCTTTGAGGGGGGGGGGGGTAAATCGTCTTTTACCCTAAGAGTCGGGATTATGGGTTTGGACTCTCGGTTATGGTTTATAACCTAATTATTAATTAGGGTATTATTTGATCATATTTAGTGCAGAGATTTCCCGAATCAACAGTATGAGCATTTATCTGATTTTTCAGCAGTTTGAGGTGAGTCTCCTCCCAATGTTTGACGGGTCGAAGGCACCAATGTCGGCCCATGGATTATTGTTATTTGTATGCTAGTTGTCTGTGTGACTCTTGCATATGTTGTATGCATGTCGGGCGGGGCCCATCGCATGTTATTGACATATCTGTTTCGGGTGGGGTTTGATGCCGGACGGGGCCCGGTGGTTGTCGGGCAAGGGCCATTATATGTATGATATGAGATATTTTGGGGAACTCACTAAGCCTCGAGTTTACTATTTTCAACCGATTCGAAAGGGAAGAGTTCGGGATGATTGCATCGCATACACCATGATTTTTCTGTTTTATTTGACTCTGATGTATTTTGGATGATTATTGATCGACTATGACTTTCTTATGGGTTTGATTATCATGTTTGGTTGATGTTTATTTAATATAAAAATAAAACTTTTAGTTCTGAATTTTTAGGGCGTTACACATATATTCAAAAGAAACTCTAGCAAGGAACTAGAGAGCCAAAAGGGAAATTACAAATTGTTTAACAAAAATTGCATCTTACCATTCCAAAGAAAATCAATTTTTCTAAATTTATTATTAACAAAAAAAATGAAAATTCTCTAATAGAATAAAAAATGGTATATTTTCTCAACTTTTCGTCTTCAAAAACTTTATCATTTCGTTACATCCAAATATCTCCAAATATGTCATAACATGGTACAACAAACAACATCAACTCATAAATTACTCTTATTTCACTTAAGTTCTAGACGAGTTTTGAACTCCCAAAATTTTAAAAAACTAAGAACAAGTAATATAATTTTAAAAAAGATAACACCTAATTCCAATGCATTAGAAATGATAACACCTAATATCAATTCATTAGAAGTCCTTTTTGTACAATAATGTTGTTGTTGATACAATGTCCGATACTTTCAAATGGTTGACATGAATATATAATTTGTAGATTAGAGAGTTTATGATTATTTTAGGAGAAAAAGAAGAAAACAAAAAATAAAAAACAAAATTAGCTAGATAAACCAACCAAATTGATTCCGACTTTTTATCATCCATTACTGTTCCGGATTATTTTAGGACATTTCTCAATTCTCATCGGCGAATTTGCTTTGAAGAAGAGAAGACCGACTTCTTCGTCTTCCTTACAACTTACGAATCGCGACCAACTCCACCAGCTCCAATTGTCTACCGCTTCTTCTTCAACACCCTTCTATCTGCTGCCGGAAAACATGGGGATTCATCTGAATTTCAACACAGATAGCTGAAGAAACCGCGGACATAGCTCTTGACTACAATCCTAGCAACAACAAAGGATGAAACTGGGAAAGCAACAAGAACATCAGCGTTCAACAACATCAATAAGAAGTAAGGCGGCCCATTTTGTGTCTGATCTTACCACCGTTCTTCTTAATCCAATATCTGATAAACCCTCATCGAATTCCTCTCCTCGTTCTGTAAGTTGTTTTGCCCTCTCCCAAATTCTTCTTTGGATCCTTTGAAGTACTTTAATTTTTTTTTCAATAATAAAAAAATTCGATCAAGTTTAGTTCAATTCCTGATCATCAATTTGAAATTCTATTTCTGATATGACCTTTTGTGCAATTCTTTGACCTTTTAATCTTAGGGTTTATCTTCATGAAATCTAATCTCTGTGAACGAAATAATACACTTTAGGATTAGGGTTTAGTAATGGGATTCATTCGTTTTTGTTAGGGCGATTTGAGTAATGAACCAAGGAGAAACACACAACAATGTAATCAAGAAGAAGATGTTCCAGTCTTGGTTGATGGGCCAGATACTTCCTCCTTCACCGCATTTCTCTACTCATTCTTATCACCAGGAAGATCAGAAAACGAGTCTGAGTATTCAGAATGGAACGACAACCAAGTGGTAACTAGCTACAGAAATGACACATCATCCCCAAACGTTTCAAAAGAAAACAATGGAAAGAAAGGTCTATTCTCTAAGGGCAAACAGTCACTCGGCAAGGCTCTTTCACAAGCTGCTAGGTTTAGTGGGTATCGATCTCATGCATCTGGGAAAGTAAACACTGAATCAAAGATTGATGACATGAAAGAAACAAGCTCTCAATTTGACACCAATGATGGGGTTCCTGTACAAAATGTGATTGCATCTTTTCCTTCTGATAAACTTCCAAAAATGTCAGAACCTTCACAACTTATGACAGAAAATACACGTTCTGATCTTTATGTTGCACTCCCTGTTCTCAGTCAAGGAAAGAAATGGGTCTTACTATACAGGTAAAACTTCATCTTCTTCATATTTTCAGCTTCACATTATTCTTGAATCTTGATATATCATTATCTTTTTTATATGTTAGTACATGGAGGCATGGCATATCTCTTTCAACCTTATATAGAAGAAGCAATCTTTGCCCAGGGTTAAGTCTGCTGGTAATGTCTTGTCCTCAGTAACTATGCAAAATGTCAACTTTACCCTTTAACTGAAACTTGATTAAACATTTTCAGGTTGTTGGAGATCGTAAAGGTGCAGTGTTTGGTGGTTTAGTTGAGGCACCTTTGAAACCATCAACAAAGAAAAGATACCAGGTTTGTTTAATTATGATGGTTTTTTAATTATATATGTTGACAAAAGACCTTTCTACCCTTTTTCACTATGATGAGTAAATACTATACAGGGATCGAATGATACATTTGTGTTTACAAATACACCAGGGCGTCCTGTTATATATCGTCCCACAGGTACTGCATTTTCTTGATAATATAAAAAAAATTCTTCTATAATTTTAATATTTATTTGGGATTTGTTATGTTAATTGTGCATTTATTAGGGGTGAATCGGTATTTTACTCTTTGTTCAACTGAGTATTTAGCGCTTGGTGGGGGAAATCATTTTGCATTGTATCTTGATAGTGACTTGTAAGAGTGTTGGCAATTTGCACCCTTCCTATTTTTTCTTTTTGAGGGATAATATGGTAATTTGGCAATTTGCATATTTTTTTCCCAGATTGAATGGGTCAAGTTTGGCCTCAGAAACTTATGGTAACTCTTGTTTGTCACACACCCAAGAATTTGAAGTGAAGGAAATTGAGGTGCTTTCTCTCACTTATTTTTGCAAAAATTACTTTTTTGGCCCTCGTGTATGGTTGATTTTGTTCAATTTGGGTCCTAAAAAGTTTCTTCTTGCAAATTTGATCCTTATTTGAGGTTTTTGTAACGTTTTTAGTCTTCGTTCCAAGTAAAATGAGTTAGGACTAAAATTGAAAAAATGAGCTATATTCAGGGACCAAAAATGGTCATCTTACTTAGAACAAGGACTGAAACTATACAAGAAATTTCAAAGAAGGACCAAAATTGTAAGATAATTTTTTGGGACCAAAATTGAAAAGAATCAGCTATGCTTCGGGACCAAAAATAGTCAAATAAGGACTCAAATTGCAAGAGAACTTTTTGGGACCAAAATCAGAAAAATCAGATATACTCGGGGACCAAAAATGTAATTTACTATAAACATAAATATAAATAGTTTGCATAAGTTGAGTTCATATGAATATGAATGTGTGCAGCTGTGGGGGTTTGTATATGCTTCAGAGTATGAAGAGGCGATATCAATGTTGAGGACAGAAGCACCTGGGATATGTCGATGGTAGATTGACGATTATGCCCTTCATCTTGTATATATTTTAATATGGGTGTTCCATTTCCATTGCTATGTTTGTTGGGTTTCAACATAGATAACCTTTTGGATTTATGATATACGTATAAAAGATTGATAAAGAGAGGGGTTTGTGTTAACAAGTCAACAGAAATATATTTTCTGATTTTGTCAAATCTTTTTAAAGAGCTACTCCTTCCACTTTTCATCCTTAACAGATAACACTTTTATTTTTTTCTTGTTTTCTCTTTCTAATGGTGTCCCTTTTAACTTTTATGGATGACCTATATAAAAGCTGTTAAAATATTTTCAAAGTCCATAAAGGAGATACCGATTTTCTCAATTTTTTGGCTTTTTGGTAACCATGTTCAGAGCATTCAACAAAGGTTGTTAAAATCGCGATGTTGATCGTAGAATTTCGATTATAGTTTGATTGTTTGGGTAAGATTGGGGTAGGTTGTTATTTTTTTATTTTTTATTTTATTTTATTTATAATATTTGGTTTTGACTAAGTTAATTGAATATGAATCTTAAAACTTAATTTTGAATTATTTATTGTTAAATGAGACAGTGGGGATGTATTTCTCATGTTAGTAAAATAAATCGTAAAATATTTATTGTTAACACTATGTATTACATGAGTTAATTAAAAGAAAAATCAAATCTAAAGGTCAATATATTTGATAACTTTGAATTTATAAGAAAATAATGATTTATTATAATGGAAATGTTTTTTATCTTTTAAATTTAAACAAATAATTTAAATAAAGAAAATAAACTTTAATTTTGAAAATTTGAAATTAAAAGGTAAGTTTATTAGTGAAATTAATATCCATTTATTATTATATTTATTGCAATTATTATATTAAAATATTATGTGAAATTTAATAAAATAGAAAAATTCATAAAATAACATGTGAAAAAAAAATTAATTCAAAATAAATGACATTTGACAAATTGAATGAGAGTGATAAGTGGCAAAAAAAAATCATTTATTAAAGAGGATAATGGTTAACTTATCAATAACTTTATTTATTTATTTATGTTTTAAACTGCTTTTGGTAGGATCATACGACCCAATTCGATCTTATAATTATGGTTTTGCAAGACGAAAAAAAACCTATATAAGATATGATCTTTACAACCTTGCAGTCAATTAAACGTCTTATGTTGTTTATAATTTTACTCTATGCAACAACAAAGAGAGACAATGTCTATTTCCCTCGTTTCAAACTCTCAAGCGTGTGACAAATAGAAGTTACCACATGCTTTAAGATTAAACTTGACCTAAAATAGTCGATGAAATTTGATGTCTTCAAAAAGAAAGATAAGAAGAGCGTAAGACTCTTACAAGTCACTATCAAAATACATTTAGTGTTTTCATATAATTTTAGGTTTGGTGATAATTGATAACTTGAACATCTTAATGGATTGTGTTGGATACTTTTCGTGAATTGTGTTTCAATCCTATAAAAAAGAACAATTTTAGTTTAGGTACAAACTTAGAAGAAAATACACCAAAGTGTGTAATGTGTTTCTTCTAACTTCGTAGAGACGATGTAACACCTAATTTAGGTATTCGATCTTTTTATGATTTTGATTCAATTAAAGAGGGAAAACCACAAATAATAGATGGTCACAACGTGAGGAAGGATACCTCATGACGTGACCATCGATGCAGAAACGCGTGTCCATCCTTGCGGGTCACGATGTGACGACGGGTTAACCCTAATTATGTGTTTTGTGCCCTATTTAAGGGAGATGAGGGGCTAGGGTCACCCTCATACTTCATCACCTCCTTCCTGCCCAAATCGAAGTTAGCTTCTATTGTGACCTTGAAGAGCTCTTTTGGTGGTTTATAACTCTTTGTTGAATAAGAAGGCTCCTTTGGTGCATTATCTTGGCAAGCAAGTCTCCTCCTCACCACCTTTTATTGTTTCCTGAACTTTGTAAGTCCTAAAGCTCTTTCCTTTCTCATTTAAGCGTTAGATCTAAGCTTTATTCAGTTTTCTTCATGACTGGGTTGGGTAGTATGCATGGGATCCATAAATTTAACAGCTTTATGGATAATTGAGGCCCTTTAATTAGCATACGTCTCAAATATGAGGATTGGTGGTGGTTTGGACTCCAAGCATGAGTTTTGGCCTAATTTTCTCTTTATTGACCTAGTTAGTGTTCAAGTCATGCATTGGACATGCATAACTAAAAATCTACGATTTTTATGTTTCTTTCGGTTGGGGAAAACCTTCTGGAAGGTTTGAAGGTTTGGCTTAAGGGATTAAGAGATTAATGCTCTAAATTGTTCATATCATGTCTCACGACATGACGGGTTGTGTGTCACGTCATGACGAGGCGTGTTTCTGTGACTGTTTTGTCCTAACTCTGTCACGACGTGACAATCAACTAAGGTTGAATTTAGCATTGAATCTTGACCATGGTTGACTTTTGGGTCAAACTAGGGTTTTAGGGTGTAGACTGAAAGGGCACTTCTTTATTGTTGTTAGGTGTCTCGTTGCTCCCGCCTACTATGTGTGTAAGAGATCTATGGTATTTTTAGCTGCTATTCGTGAGGTGAGTCTTCTCACTATAGTTACTTGTGTGGTAGATATATATGTTGATCAGTTGGATCTTAATTTATGCTGTTGTTATATATGAATTGAATTAAATTGTTGATAACTTTGATATTGCTGAAAGTCCCCTTGGTTGTTGATAACCCCTAAAACGTGCTGTTAATCCACCGGGCATGCTGTTAGCTCACTGAGATTGTAGATAAAATCCTGAGGGTTGCTGATAACTTATAATTGTTTGTTACGTTGTGCGGTATGGATATTTTGGGAAGGAATCACTAAGCTTCATGCTTACAATTGTGGATTAATGTGTTTTAGGTATTTCGAATGATCGCGGAAAGGCGAATGCTTGTCTGTACAGTCCGACTTGCAGATTTTTATGATTTCACATTTTGATACTCTAGTTAGTATGATTGTATTTGATGTACCAAGGATTTTTATTGACTTGGTTTTTATGATATTTGGAATTTTTCTATTTTTAAAAATGAAAAATTTTGTGGTAAAAATTGGGATGTTACAATACGAAACCATTAATGTTAAGCCGATATATAGAACATCGTTTCCCTTCAAAACCGGATAAGACAGATGGTTGTTAAATGGTACTTATAAACATTTTTTTGGTGCCATAAGTATATTAACAAAGTAGAAAAAGTTATTACCACCATGAATCAGTATCAATCCCTTTATTCATATCATGACATTTCATAATTAAGAAATGCACATAAAGGATGTTATTGCTTGAACCAAAAGGGACAAACCATTTGACCCAGATCATAAAGACCATACTATGTATCTTGGATTTTAATTTGTGAATGTTTCAATTGGAAAAAATGGGTTTATCCATTTTGTACAATGAAAATTTCCCATTTTTGAACATAAATTCAAAACACGATACATTATTAAAATGGAGTAATGATTATACATTTGTGGTCTCCTCCGTGCTTTCTTTTTTATATAATATACATCCAATACGAATTTAGGGTGAATGAAAAATTAATTATTAAAGTGAAGTGGTTGGAAGTTGGATAAAAGATTGGATGAGAGTAATGCCATCCTATAGAGGTGGGAAAGTGAAAAGGAAGTTGGTGTATACATAGAAAGACTTCTTAGTATTTTAAGACTTATATCATTTGTAACGCCCTGTTCCAAGTTGATTCCTAATTTGAGGTTGTGGTCCGAAGATCGGTCATCATAAGGCTTAGGGCCTTTGGAAAGGCGAGATCTAGACCCATTTGGGTGCGAGCAATGTAATTGAGGTGATCCAGGTGTTCAGTTCGTGTTTGGAGCTTGGGGGTATTTCGGTAAAGTGTCAGTTCGGGCTTTTATGAAAATTTGGATTTTTGTTCGGAAGGTCTTAAGGTCGGTATGAGTTGATAGAAGTGTAGTGCTGGATATAAGGACAATCAGAAACAGACTTGCAATAAGAAGTTATGGCATTCGGAAGATTGGAGAAATTAGGGTTTCACCAGGTACGCAGGGCGTACGTCTTGAGTACACTGGGCGTACTAAGCCAAATGTTCACGATCACTCTTTGGAGTACGCATGGCATACATGAAGTACGTTGGGCGTACTCCAGTTAGTCCCAAACCCTATTTTTGGGTCTTGGACCCTATTTAAACCCCATATCTCATCATCTAACCCTAGTACCTTCAACCTTTACCCCTCTAAACCCTGGAAATGTAATCCTAGCCCCCATTTGAGTGGTTTTTGAGTTTTTCAGTGTTATTTCATGCTTTTAGTGCTCGTAGAAGAAGAAGGAGCTTCTTGGAGAAGTATGGGATTGCTTGAGGCTTTTGGGTCCAGGCTTGTTGCATCTTGATGTACATCTTGAAGGTAAAAAGTTTCTACCTTGGTGATCTTATATGTTAGATCTAGTTCATGGAGTATTTTGTTCATTTTCGGGTCTTTGTGTTAAAGATGGGTTTTTTGATCTACTTTAGAAGCAATGGGTGCTAGATCTTAGCTCCATTCAGTCCCTAGGTTCATAAAAATGCAAGCTTTATAGTGTATTTTGGTCCATGCAAGAATTAAGAACCTTGTTAAGTTCTTATTGAGCTTTTGAGTCCCTTTTTACTATGTAAGCATGTAAAGTTGCCAACTTTACGTGATAAGTAGTCTTATGTAGGGGTGAGCATTTGGACCGGATCGGATCTTGAACTGGACCGGTTATGGAGAATTTTGTGGACCGTGGACCGGACCGGATGAGTCGTGTCCGTGTCCGGGTCCAGGTCCGGGTTTTCCATTTTTTAGACCCGTTTGGACCGGTAAAACGTCACAAATTACAAAATCTTGCTGAAAAGCTGAATTTTTTCAGCTTTAATAGCTCTACTTTGAAGGATTGTAACTCAGTGAATACAATACCAAAATAAACAAAATTATAGTCTAAGTTCATCTACAAACTTTAAAATAAATGTTGGAAAAAACCGTAGGTCAATCGACTTAAAACGAATGAGTTATGGGTGTTTAAAACACGTCACAGATTATAAAATCTTGCTGAAAAGCTGAATTTTTTCAGCTTTGATAACTCTACTTTGAAGGATTGTGACTCAGTGAATATAATATCAAAATAAACAAAATTATAGTCTAAATTCATCTACAAGCTATAAACTAAATGTTGGAAAAAATCGTAGGTCAATCCGACTTAAAATGAATGAGTTATGGGTGTTTAAAAAACGTCACAGATTACATGTCCAACCGGTTCTAAACCCGGTAAAAACTGGACCGAACCGGGAAAAAACCGGACCGGACTGAATAGAAATCTTAGAACCGAGAACCGGCTTGGGGGTCCAAAAAAGCGGTCCGGTTCGGTCTGGTCCACTGGTCCAAATGCTCACCCCTAGTCTTATGGAATCAGATATGAGAGTTTGACACTTTGTCTTAACCAATTAAGGGTTTATTAGAGTGAAAAAGGGGTCTGAGGAGTACGTTGGGCGTACGTAAGTGTACACTCAGTGTAATGCTGATTTTGTGCTTTAAGGACTTGTACTCTGTGCTTCCAGGTCATGTACGTGGGGCGTACATCCTGAGTACGATGGACGTACTCTTCAGTTCATCATTATTGAGCCTTTTGAGTTTGGGCCTTGTTGGGCCAATGGTTTCTATTTTTGGGCCATGGTTAGGCTGAGGACTTTCTTGGTATCGGTCCCTTGAGAATTTTAAGCCCAATTAGGAAGTTGGTCCATATTGGGCCTTTGTTGCTTGTGTCTTGGGCTTTGGATTGTCATTTTGTAGTTTAGTCCTTCTATGCTTGTTGTGTTGGGTTTTCGTTATGAAACAAGTAAGGAAAGGGTAAAATGGTCTTTTACCATTTAGGAAATTAGTTTATGGAGTGGGCCTTGGATTTTGGGTTATTAAGTTATTTATTGATTAATATTTGTATTTATTGTTAGTTGGCGCAAGGTTATCCAGTTCGGCGGTGTGAGCAGTCATTTGAGTATCAGCGGATTGAGGTGAGTTGTCCTCACCGTACTTACGGGTCGAAGACACCAATGTCGGCCCATTGGATTGATATCCTATTATGCATGCTGCTATGCTGTTATGATCTGTTAGGTCGGTATCCTGGTTGATAGGATGTTGCTATGCTATTATGATATGTTAGATTGGTATCCTGGTAGATAGGATGTTGCTATGTTGCTATTATCTGTTAGATCGGTATCCTATAGCTAAGATAATGCTGTGCTTAGTGATCTGTAGATCTTTTGACTGGCTGTAGACTACTATATGAATACAATTATCTGTTATATGTACACATGTTTTGTTGGTGGCTGAGGCTTAACTGCTTTGTGTGTAAGCCAACAGGCCGGGGCATACCAACTCGATGGTTGAATGGTCCCGAGGGTATTCCATCCCGAGGATGATTAGACCCATAGTATGTTGGCATTCCAACCCGATGGTTGAGGGCCTGGGGTACTCCAACCTGATGGTTGACTAGACCCATAGTATGTTGGCATTCCAACCTGATGGTTGAGGGCCTGGGGTATTCCAACCCGATGGTTGACTGGACCCATAATATGTTGGCATTCCAACCTGATGGTTGAGGGCCTGAGGTATTCCAACCGATGCTTGACTAGACCCATAATATGTTGGCTTTCTAACATGATGGTTGAGGGGCCTGAGGTATTCCAACCCGATGGTTGATTGGACCCACAGTATGCTGTTTGTTGTATATGTTGTTTTGTTGTGTGCTGGTACTTTGGGGAAAACTCAGAAAGCTTTGTGCTTACAGTTTTTGGTTTATGGTTTTAGGTGTTTCAAAGATTGGTGGCAAGGCGAAGGCGTGGTCGCACATCCTAATTTTATGTCATTGATCTTGGGAGGCACTGATTTTCAAATAATTCTTTGAGTACACTATTTTTGTAACATTTTATTAGTAAAAGGATCATTTTGAAAAGTTTAAAATTGTTGAAAATTTGGGATGTTAGGTTGAACAGAAAAGTTTAAGGGTTTTTTTACCAAAAAAAATTCATTTTAGCAACTGAATACTCAATATGATTTTCGGTTTTAAATTACATTAAACACAAAACTAATCATATATTTTTGGTTTTAATCTTGTGATGTAATGATAAACACTCTCATCATGTATGAGAATTTGTATTATGTATACATGTTATCGAACGTCCATATGTTACTTTGCTTGTTAGTTAAGAGGAAGACTTCCTCAACGTTTATAATTCAGGTAAACCATTCGATTCAGATTGATAACAATCATTGACTTTAACCATCCATATGAATCTCCTACCTTAAAAGATTCATTGTATCTAAAGAGACTTGGTGCTAAGAGAAAATCAACTAAGTGCCAAACTTGGTTGTTCTAATGGATTACATATATGCATTCATGGTTCTAAACCAATTATAGAGTTTACACCCCATAATTAAAAGATATATCAGAAACCATTGATTTATATTCTCATAATAGGTGCATGGAATTTATATTTCAAGGTCTAAATTTGAGATTATGTTAGAAAATTGAATGTGTAGTGGTCATGCCTCTCAAAGTTAGTGCAAAAGGTCCAACATATCATATGCTAGCGACTTTAAAAAGTGTTAGTAACTAATAATTTACAGATGATAAATATTATTATTTATTTGCTCCTTTACGACTCTTTAGTCTCTCTTCATAGGTTCACATATAATCAACAATCAATCATTTGTTCTTTATTCATCCTTTCCAACAACTTCAGCATAGAGCATGCTTATATATCTTATTTAGGCATCGAACTTTGTAAAATAAGATAACATCATATTCCTTCAAAATCTCCTACACATTATTACTTAATAACATGCCAAGACTAACCAAGTTGTAGTGATGTAGTTTGAGACGAATTGATAACCATTTCTTTGAAAACCCCCGACGTCCCGACACTTCACCCATGCCCGACCCTAATATAGAGGCCTTGTGTGAAAATCTAAGTGAGGACCTATAAAAATTTTCTTGTAAAATGTTATTAAGTAAATTTGCTACCACTAAATTCAAAAATTAAAGTTGCTAACAAACATGTCGTAAATTCACTACCACAACATCATGTCTTCACTCATTAGATGATCTAGTTTCTATGATCATAGATGTTCAGTGGGATGTCTTCTTTTTATCACCATTACTATTCAAGGTGGTTATGTCTTCATCTACACATGACATATCTTCTGGCACTTGCAGTTCAACTTTTTCTTCTTTAGGTTCTTCCAAAACATCGTAAACTTCTTCTCTAGGTTCTTCCACATCTTCACGAACTTCATCCATACTTTTTTGCACAAGTAATTCAACTTTTTCTTCCGTATGTTCTTCCATAACGATTCTTCATTACGATGATATTATGATATTTGTTTAATGATAATTTGATTGATAGATACTCTTTGACTATAAATAAATTCTTCTTCTTTTTTGTTTTATTTTATGTTTAGAACAATTTGATTTAATTTTTCTAGTTGGCAACATCTTTTTTTCTTAACTAAAAAAATCAATGTTAATAACTTAACAATATATATTTACAATATTTACTAAAGCATTAATGTTTAAAACAGTGAAGGCATCAAACAAAATTCTTTTTTTCTAATATCTCTAAGTATTGGACTGTAACACTCGATCTTTCACACATTAAAATACTATACTTTATAAACAATTTCTATAAATGGGTTCCATTTAGAAAATATGGCCTCAAATTTTCTCATTTATTTACAAATACATTTGTAAAAGTATTCCTCCGGGTATTACAATCGATACAAATAAACCATAATAAATTTGCAAGGTTGCTTATGACATGCAAACAATGCCTATGTTTTATCCACTCGCTCTTTGCTATTTGTCATAACTCGACTCTCTAGGTTGCGTCTCAATACCCGGAATAAATGACATTTAAACAAATACATAAGACAATCATTGTCTAGTGAGCCACATAGGTTTAGACACAAATCATTATGAAAATTATTGAAAAAACACAACTTAGACATGCATTTATAAAGAGAAGCAAAGTATATTTTGCATGTCTATATTCAATACAACTCTTCTCGGGCTTTCCCAAGTCTCAACTATTGCTTAATTTAATGTCCATAACGACCACCCATAATTGGGCTAGTCACACAAAGTGACAAATATATATGATAATATTTTGATTTTTTTTGATTTCATTAATTTTTTTCATAATTAAAATTACTTCAAGATTGACCAAATGTTACATAAAAATGCATTTTATGAATATATCAACACCATAAATATATATTTGTTCGTACCCTTAAAACCGAAGGCTCCGTGCGATCACACCAATTGCATACCCCTAGGGCTGCCACCGACTTCACCCTTATCCTGTTTCATGTTTATTTAATATCTTGACATAATTGGTTGTTTATGTATGATTTCTTAGTCCCACTATAGGTCAATGTAAAGCTATGTTCATAATATGGTGCAAATGTAAAGCAATAGTTTGGTCACTTTCATGTTACATTATGTACATTATACTATTAAGTTTCCAACAAAATGAAGCAACGATGTTGATTGATTAGTCAAAAAGCTATGTTCATAATATGGTGAGTATGTAAGATTTTTTGTTAAATTCTTTTAAACTAAAGAATTTTGGTTTATTATTGTGAAACTTTTTTGTTTATGTTGTAACTTAGCTTTTTGACATTAGTATTCCTTACTGCATTCAAATTCAATGGAAGAGAGGATCTAGTGATAACTCGTTGTGCTCAAATGAGACTTTATTTGACTTCAGTGGAAGAGAGGATTTAACGGTAACTCATTGGGCTCATTTGAGACTTTAAAACACCATGGGGCCAACCTTACTTCTTAACATCACTTGCCTTCCTCTTTTCCATGCATTCTTCTCTTCCTGTCCTTGGTATCTCCATCCCTTACATGTCCACCAAGATTGATGATCTTGTCGGACATCCAACTACCCAACAAGACCATCGGTGCTGACAAACATCACTCTTCCTCCGCTTTGTCGTATCAACCTCGCATCTCCTTTACCTCTATCGCATATTGGTTCCCAAAATTAACGTGCATCTGGATACCATAAAAATGGAATAAGATGAAGTTAATGGTCTTGATGAGGACGTTGTTGTTCTTTTTTTTTTTTTTTTTTTTTTTTTTTTTTTTTTTTTTTTTTTTTAATGGGGGGAATAGGGAAGGGCGTGAGGCTTTAAAAATTCAGTTTAGAGTTACAGTAGTCGGAGACGATTTGCAGTTACACTCATCGAAGATTATGGCTGGGCTAAGGAGTTCTTGAGATACAAGTGGAGATTGAAAGAGATAAAGTTGGAGTAGGGTTGGTGATGGTGGTGGGGCTGGTTATGACTGGTAATGATGATGGTGGTGGAGTTGGTGATAATTGGTGATGGTGATGGTAATGGTGGTGGGGTTAATGGTGATCGGTGAGGGTGATAGTGTTATGTGGTGTGGTTGGTATTGGTGGTTGGTTTATAATGGTAATGGGTGGTAGTGGTGTCACTATTGGTGATGTCGGTGATTGGTGGTGTGATAATGGTTCTTTCATTTAATAATTTAATAAATATATGAAAAACAAGAAGATAACAAATAAAAGAACATTTTTGTCATTTCACAAGCACTTAACACTCATCTTAGATTGTAACAACATCAAAGACTACCGATGCAAATTTTTGAAAACCATAAAGACAAACCATGCCAAAAATTAAACTAAAAGTGCAAATTGGTGTAAACAACAAAGACAAAAACTAATAAAGTATAAAAAATAAAGGGTACAACATTTTAATGTGTATTTAAAGAAAATAAAATAAAATAAAAATTAATTTTAGCAAAAATAACCACTTGGTTCGGAATGGGCATTCCAGACAAAAAAAAAAAGACATTATTTCTAACAAAAAAAATACAATTCAGTAAGAATTCCGAACAAATATTCCGGATTTAGAAAAAAAAATCTCTGGTGTTTAATGAACAAATCAGAAATCCGGTCAACAATTGCAGAATTTAGAGATTTTTTTTTCTATTTTGGGTGATGAATTCGTCTGCAAAACCAACATCCTTACCAATGGCGGGTGTGTCACCCCTTGCCAAATGCAAGTTAGTATTTTTGGACGATGAATCTGTCGGCGAAACCAACATCCTTACCAACTTCATTTATGGCAAATTCGACACCACCTATCATGTTAGAAATTAAAGGAACATAATAACAATGAATACAAACTTGGATATATTCAAGGACCGTGTTTATCAAACACTTTCCAAAATCTGTAATTCGTTCCTTTGGCATGGGATACACGAATTCAGAAGTGGGATAATCAAAGAATGAACCAATTTGAATTACAGGCCTAATCCAGATTGTGAAACACATAATACCTTGTTGTTTTTGTGTTCTTGAGAGATAGAACAAATCAATGTATGATTTTTGTGTATTTAAGTGCCAACTCGTTTTTTGGAACTAGAAAACGTTCTTATACTAGAGGGAAATATGGTTATTTGCGGTTGCATGTGGAATTGGCGCCAAAATTGTTAGTTAATAGACATAACTAACACCCGCATCATCATGATGTCATCTAGTGGGTTTTTGGCAGGAAAATGCATGGTTGGAGTGTCACCATCGCAAGGGGCTTTGCCCCTTGGACCCTGCTAGGGACATTGTCCCGACACCTCACCAAGGAGCTGCATCCCATTGGAACCCTGCACCCAGGGGCGCTGCCCTCGGACCTCTGTATTTCCAAGTTCACATTTATCACACTGAGTGTGCACCCCGCACTTCCAAGCTCAGTTAGTAAATGGAGCTCGACTTATCTCATTATTAATAATTATTACACCAAAATATGTTGATAACACTAAAATCACCAACATAGAATGTATGGTATATATATATATATATATATATATATATATATATATATATATATATATATATATATATAATATATATATATATATATATATATATATATATATATATATATATATATATATATAGGGAGTGGTTCAAATGAGAACCCAAAAATGTTAAAAACCTTAAGAACTATTTTTTAAAATGTTTTCAGTAATGTTATTTTGGACAAATACAACATTTATATTTTATTAAATTCTATTCCCTAGCTTACAAACTACTTTTTTACTTGTTGTCGGACCACCATCAGACAGTCGTCAAACCAGTGTCAGACTACCATTAAATTCAGTAACATTTTCTCGTCGTATTCACAGCTTAATAAAACAAACCTTGTAGCTCTAATATTTTTTTATTTTTCCAACTAAAATATACAAGATTTTAGTAAAAAAAATTGAGTAACGTATTGAAAAATCCAATTCTCTTTTTTTCTAAATTGTAGAGTTCTTTAAAAATATACCACATATAAGAAGTATTCACAATTTAAAATACAATATTCACAGTTTAATAAACATAATAATTTACTAATACACAATTTAATATTTTAAAGCATATCTTCATTCATATTTTAACACAAACTTTATATAAAATATACAACAAAATACATTCCATTTTTAATTGATTTCATAAAAGCAATTCATTATACACTAATTCATATATTTAAAGAAGTCAAATCCAAACTCTACCACCACCACTACCAACTACTACCAAACGATGCCACCAGCCACATGTGCTACTGTTACAACCAACCTTCATTCCAAATCAGGTTTGTATATAAAATCATTGATTGACAACTTAAATACTATATTCACAATTTAATAAATTAATTAATTCACTTATTAAGAGTTCAATGCAAAATAATTATAACAACTAATACATTCTTACATATTTATACAACACAAAAAATAATTATATTCATAAAAAGATAAATACAAAAATTCATACATAAATTATTCATATTTTAACACAAAATTCATTAAAAATTCACAATTTAGTACAATCAATTCACATCTTAATACAATCATTTCATAGTTCAATACACAAAATTTACAACTTAATATAATAATTTTACAGTTTAATGCACAAAAATTACAAAGCCATATTCCCAACTTAAAACTTACATTTATACCTTTAGATCTATAAGGTAGTGGTTCTTTCAAAGTTTATTTACATAAATATTTATAACTTAATTTGTAGATACTTTATTCATAATTATATAAAATCATAATAAATCATGCATTCACAACTTAAAACTCATGATTTTCACTTAAGCAATCATATATGCATAAAAAAATCATGCATTAACAGCGTAATACTTATAAACAACGCATGCATTCACAACTTAAAACCTTTGTATTTTATTGAAACAACCATACATGTAGAAAAATTTTTTATTCACAATTTAAAGCTTATAAAACTCATGTATTCATAATTTTAAACATCTATTTTCTTATTAATAACAGTTAAAACTAACATTAACATAAGTAAACAATAAATGAAACATTAAAACGTTACAATTCACTATTTAAAAACCTAAGTTAACATTATTTGAGAAAATATTAATTTAAGAAAGTATAAAACATAAAAAAAATCATGTATTCACAACATTCACATTTTAAAACTTATATTTTTCATTGAAGCAGTTAGATCTGTATAAAAAAAAGCATGCATTCAAACTTAAAAATTATAAAAAAATCCATGCATTCAAAGCTTAAAACTAATGTTTTTCATTGAAAAAAATCATAGCTGTATAAAAAATCATATATTCACAGCTTAAAACTTATAAAAGCACACATTTATAGTTAAAAACTTATAGAAATCATGCATTCACAACTTAAAACTTATAAAAATCCATGCATTCACAACTTAAGACTTATATTTTCTTATTAATAACAATTAAAACTTACCTTAACATAACAAATGAATAACTGAAACATTAAAACATTACAATTCACGACTTAAAAACCTAAATCAATTTATTTTAGAAAACAATACAAAACAATAACATAATAACACACATTCTAAACTCAATTTATTATAGAAAACACTAACATTATGCAAATATTATAAAAAAATAATAAGAAAACATACTTAGATTCACCACTTAATAACATTGGATTCACTACTTAAGAGTTTATGCAAATACTATACCAAATACGAAAACAAACTTGGATTTATAACTTAATAGCATGATTTCACAAATTAATAACAATTAAAACTAATTTAACAAAAGTAAACACCAAAAGAGAGATTAAAACACTAAATTCACAGGATAACAGAAGGAATAAAAATCAAAACAAAAAATCGATGTACCTGATGCATATATGTAGTGGGTTTCACCGAAAACCAGAGAGAAAGAGATAGAGATAAGCAGGTGGTTTTTCACTGGAGCGACGAGGTAGAAACTGTGATGACGGTTGATGGCAGTCTCAAATCTTGTCGGAGCTCATAGATATAGAAGCATAACTCGTAGATCTAGAGAAAAGTATCATAGATTTGTCATCAGAGATTGTAAATCTATCACCAAAGAAGTATAATGTGGCTTTTTTTAGCGTTTCGGCAAAGAAAAGTGAAAGATCTGAAGGAGGAGGTGGCAGTGATGGCAAATATGAAGATGGAGATTCTAGATCTGACCAGATCTAGATAGATATGGAGTGTCTGGATTTAGAGTAGGAAGAAAACCGGGGATGAGAAAGCACCGAAATCGTCTAGATCTAACTATATCTGAACAAGAAACACAAAGAAAACTCATAGGAATCACGTTAATTCGACAATAATGGAGGTGTTGTAGGCGTTTTCTTCAGATCTTTACATAGATCTATAGGCAAAAATACAGAGGTGAAAAGTTTAGATTTGAGGCTGGAATCATAGATCTGGAACCGTCGGAGCTTGTGGAGTTGATGACGGCGGTTCGACGGTGGTAGGAGGCAGTAGTTGTTTGTCAACAGTAGGAGGCAACGACGGTACATGGTGGTGGTTGGTGGCAATTGGTGGTAAGTTATGTAT